TTAGCAGTGAGGCAAGAGGACACAGGTGAGAGAAGGAAAGAGAAGAAAAGAAAAATGAAGAAGAAATATGAATTAGGGCCAGAATAGGAAAGCAAAGGGAGATGAAGAACAATGTGGGACAGCAAGAGAATGAGAGTGAGAGCAAGAGTGAGAGAGAGAGAGAGAGAGAGAGAGAGAGAGAGAGAGAGAAAAGAAAAAAGAAAAATAAAAAAATTAAAATTATAAAAGAGTAGAAAAAGAAGAAAAAAATAAAAATAAGAGTAAAAAAATAGTGGTAATTTTGAAAATAACAAATAAAAGATAAAAATGAAGGGATTCCTTCAGGGTATGTGTCTTCTGTCACAATAGACAACATGGGCAGAAGTGTGCAGTTATAAGTCAATGAGTCTCAGTAAACCAGTCACAGACCAGTGAGATTCAGGCAGATTTTTGGGCTGCAAGTCCCAAGTTGAGCTCCCTGTCCTCCTGCAAGGTTGAACTGTGCAAGGTTCTGTTGGAGGTTCCAGCTGACTTTCCCCTGGAGATAGTCCAGGTTCTGATGGGAGGTGATGATCCCTCTAATTTACCAATTATGGTGGTCTGGTGTGCCTTTACTGCAGAGATTCCCTTCACTTTTCCAGTGGGCTTCAGTTATCATCAGGAAGCCTGAGAGAGGCCCTCTCTCTCTTGTTCACTTCTGCCTGCAGTTCAGGACAATGGCATTTATGTGCCCCTGTGCCTCTGTAATGTGGAACCAGGTAGCTGCACAGCCAAGAGGCCAGAGGGCAGGGGTGGGGTGGGTACTGGCACTGTTGTTGTAGGTGCCAACAGGGCTCCACGGGGGGCTGTTGGGCATGCCTGGGGGGTCCTTACCAGCCCTTGGTCACAAGTGGGTGTAGCCAGCCAGCCAGAGCTGGGCTCAGTCAGTCCTGGGTGCTCTGCTCCCTGCTTGGCTCTACTCGCTTGGCTCCACCAGCTGCTGGTTGCTTAAGCCTTTTTTATGTACTCTAACATATGAATTAGGAATGGCCAGATCCAGTAAGGTTCTCAAGCTTTGTTTATGGATATGGGTAAATAAATTTCCAAAATGTCAATGAAGAATAGTGTAAGCTTCTAAGTGATATACTCACTAACTTTACACCTTACATATTTACACAAACATACACATGCACTTGTGAATATAGAAATTATACTCAAGTCCTCTGTGATTTTATCTTTTTATCACACTAAAATGATTTAAGTCAGAAGTTTTAACATTATATTTCAGTTTTAATAGGCTCTCAAATAGTTTATTTCCATTTTTATTTTGCATGTCACCTTACTAACTTGGCTATTGTATATAAATGAGTATCTGTGTAGGCTTAAAGTGAACACACATATAGTAAAATCAGTCCTAACATGTGCAGCATGTTATATCATGTTACCTCCTTTATCTGCACCATTTTCCCTCAATGAATGTTTCTTTTATATGACTTCATCTGTATAAAAATATTATGAAAAACGAATATCGAGTGTCATTTGGCATACCTGGCCTCTTGTATGTATGCACCTAAGGAAAAAAGAGAACAGGAAATGTCCTCTGAGTCTTAGCCAGATGCCTGACCTTTATCTCAATCTTAGTTCCTCTATATTGATTGGAGGCACTACCTTAGAGGAAGAGAATCTGAGACTTTTGTCATTTATTGTCTTGTTTCCTTTGTCCTTTATTTTTTGCTTGGTAATTGATATCGTTAGCATACTCAGGGGAACTTTTGAGCACTGGGCACAGATTTTCATTTCCAAAAATAAACAAATAGAGAGATTCCATCCATTTCCAGAGTATAGATGCTCAGTTCAGTGAAGTGGGATTCAGCCACACAATGGGAGTGTGTCAAGTTGGTAAATATGTCCCTGTACTGATGTTTTTTGCTTTTGTGCCACATTTGACACTGCATATAAACCCCTCCTAACTTAGCAATTTCTATTCCTTCTGCTAAATTCTCCATGTTCATCTCTTTTATTTTTTTGGACCATCTGTGTTTGAGTTTTCTACCTTAAAATTTGTAAATATCTTTGCTAAACTGAACAAATCACTTCTGTCATAAACCAAAGAAAGATACCCTTTTCTAAACCCTCAAATTCTATGGAAAAGGAACAGAAAAAATAATTTATTTCTCCTTTTGGACCTATACTAGTAGGTAAATTAAGGACACATATTTTTGGAACATTAATGATTCTCACCAACTTTATAAACATAGTTCCTCGCAGAGATCTGTAAAATATATTAGGAATACTATGGTTAATCTTGTTGCTAAAAGAATTTTTGTTGATAATTGATCTAAGTACCCAGTAGATTAAGTTCCTAATGCAAAATATTATTTAATGTAGACACTCAAAATCAATTTGTTGAGCTAATTAATTAGTTAATGAGCATTGTATATTTTGTTGAATCACAAGTATTTTTATAATCCTTAACACAAGCCTGACATATAGTAGACATCTAATGAAACCTAGATAAAACTGACCTACAAAATTGAACAATTACATAAAACAGGTTTTTATAAATGTATTAGTGCTACTTTTTCACAAATGTACTGATTCAATATCTATTTATTGAGTACCCATTTTTTCCAAGGGCAGTTCTAGTACTGGGAAAAATGGAGATGTGGTTTCTGATCTTAAAAGATTTACAGGCTTTGGGGCAATAGATTATTGATGCAATAATTACACTTAGGATTGTGTGATGAAGAAAGCACTTTCAGAAAGAAATTTGATTGTAACAGAATATAGCAAAGAAAAGCTATGTATTAGAGATATGAATCAGGGAATAATGAATCAGGGAAAGCTTTTCTAAAAAATTGCTGTTTAAACCATGATTTAAAGAATAATAGGGAAAGAGAGTTGAGAGTTGGGGAAGGAACAACACATATGATATGATTGTGAAGAGTCTAGAAAGGACAAAGTGATGAAGACCCTGCAAGGAGTTACTTAGTGATTGTAAGTGATGTTAGAGCTGTATAGTGTAGTAGGTGTGTGAGACACGACTAAATTTTACGTAAAATTGCTTTTTTATTTGCTGAATTGAGAAATTTAGTGATCTGAAGACACATATTATTAAAACAAATGAATGACCTCTCCAGATTTAGAGACATGGGTGTGCTGAAGCCTACACATATGGGCTTGGAGGATCTCATTGTATGCATCCCTTCTTAATTCTGTAACCAGTGAACATACATTAAAAACTCTTATAACTCAAATAATCACAAAACTGGATGATTTAAACAACAGAAATTTATCATAACATTTTTATGGAAGCTAGATGTCTGAGGGTCAAGGTCCCAGGAGGGGTGGCTCCTTTTCAATTCTGACAGGGTAATCACAACCACTTTCTGGTGGTGTACTTCAAATTGTGTTTGTTGGTTGTTGACACATCATTTGAACTTCTTAATATCTTAATATCTGTCTTAATATCCACACATAATTCTCCCTGTATGTGTATGTGTCTCTGTGCACAAGGACAAAGCCATGCTGGAACAGGACCTACCCCAGTGACTTCAGATGATTATATCTGTGATGGTCTTATTTCTAATATAAGGTCACATTCTAAAGTAAAGGTGGTTAGAATCTGAGAAATTTTTGTGTGGAGGGGGGCACAATTCAGCCCATAACAAACACTAAAGGTTGATGAGTATGTGGCACAATCAGATTATTTTTATATTACTTGGAAAAAGTATAAAATGATAGAACCACTTTGGAATACATTTTGACAGTTTCTTATTAAATTGAACTTTCTCCTACCACATGGTCCAGCAGATTCACTCCTAGATATTTAGCCAGTGATTTGCTGAATACATATCAGCTTGTAAGAGCTAATAGTTAAATTTTCATAAATTTGTATTTATTCAAGACAAAGGAAAAATAATGCCCACACTGGTTCTGCTGTGGAATTCATGTAGTTGTTGGAAGATGCCCCAAGTCCTCATCATGTAAACTGCTCTACAGGGCTGCTTGAGTATCCTCACAATACGGCAGTTGCATTGATCCAGAGCAGGGAACCCAAGAGCAGGGAATATGAGGATGTCATGATTCTTCTTATGGTCTAAACTTGGAATTCACACATGGTCTTTTCTATTACATTAGAAGCAAGTCATTTAGATGGTCTAATGTTTCAAGGTGTGGGGGACTTACTTTTCAAGGAAAGGACTGTAAAAAGTACTGTGGAAAAAATTAAAACTTCATATAAATTTGAAAATAAAGATTTTAATGTGTTTATAATAGTGACAAATCTTCTAAAATCAAATTGAAGTTGACCTCAAAATTTGAACCAATGACAGCATGAAAATCGCTAAGAGAAAACAAGGATGAGTTACAATGTTCCTGTGAAGGTCTGTTAATACTGCAGTTAAAGCCACAGTTTTATTTTGAGGCTCAGTGGCTATAATGTATGTGACACCAACCAGAAAAACATTAATACATAATAAATGCTCATTAATTCTGGTAGTTCAACAAAGAACAATAGTATTTGAACTTTTATAACTCTGGATGACCATCGGAAACTAGTAATATGAGATGTTACTTTCATATCCAAATTAAAAAGAGAGATGAACATAAAATAACAAACAAAAGAAACAATGATGTTTTGTCCTTGTAGCAGTAGTTGTATGGCACTGAGAAATGTATCTCCATTTAAAAATGCAGTAACAGATGAGTGTATTGAATGTGTGTCCAGTGTGTGTGGTCTTCCTATTTAAAGATTATGGTACTAACAGGACTCAAAACAGGTAAGCCAATACTAACTTTATTAATGTGGGGGTTTTTGCATCAGCAATTTAGAGTGAACTTAAAATAAGGCAACCAGAATTAACTTACCCGTATAGAACACATATATTTTTGTTATCCCTAAGCAGAAGTACAAAATTACATCTCTTCTATGTCAGGGATTTTAACTATAATACTGAAGTACTGGTGGTAAATTAAACTATTATGTCCAAAAATATTTTGAAGTTGGTTGTTATGCAACTGAACAATGGCCATCTTCACAGAAAATCACCTTGACATTGAAACCTCTGTGGAGTTTTTCACCTTGTTAACCTGAAGCATTATATTGAGACATCTCAGAAGCTTTCATATGACTGGCTCCAACAGGTGAGAAAGTTAATAATTTATCACATGTATATAAAATATATAACAATAATAACAATGATAATTGTTAGGAAAACATCTGCATACACACACACATGCACGCATTTATGCATACACATGCACACACCTTAGAATTGGATGCTTAAAGTTTCCATGGTTATTATAGAGAGAAGTATTTCTGTTAGAAGAAATCAGCAATTACTTTTTTAAAATTTTTAAATATAATCCAAAATCTCTTCTTATAGAATTCTTATATATCAAAAGCCATAGTTTCAACATTTCTCAGATTTTCCTGAAATCTTTTAGAGGGGAGAGAAAAGGAACCATATTTTTAATATAAATTGTTTTATTTTAAAAAGTTGCAATATTTTATTACCACACTCAGAAGATTTCTCAAAGGCAAAGATGATTGGAGCAATATTATAAAACTAAGCCCAATTAAAATATATAATATCTCAGAACAAAGGTACCTTTTTGCTCCTGAAATCCTGTGCAGAGTTGCCCTTTTGGTAACAAGCTTCTTGGGAAAGCTAATCATAATGGTAGTATTGCCTCAGCTTAGGAGTCAAACATGATGGCGCTAGGAGAAATTAATAATTAACTGACTGAATCTTTTGGGAACAGAGGAACATCTAAAATATAAAAGAACTGTAATGTAAAACTAGGGATGTTTTTAATTCAAATAATTTCCTCTCCAACTTGATGATTTTATCTCTATCATCTGCAAATGAAAAAAAAAATAGAATTCAGTTTTTTAGGTATCTTTCAGAAAATGATGCTGAGAGTGGTTGAAACCTTAGGAGATGGCAAAAAGTTGAATTTTAAAGGAATTTCTTGCCTTGTACAGTCACTGCTATGCCCACTTTGAGGTTTCTGCAACCTGAAATCCTAAGGAGAGCGGGTAGAGAGAGTTTGCTTCTCTGATATTTCTAGCACTGGAAGCATTGGTCAAATTTCATGTTTTAAATAAAATTTCTTTTGCTTCTGAAACTTTAACACTACATGATTCTGAATACAAACTTTCATTTCTAAGGACAGTTTAGTAGCAAATCTTCAATAAGGTTGGGGCTGGTGAGCCCATCACTGGACTTGGTTAGGCTACACACAGAATTGAATGCTGTTAACACTGTGCCTGTGCTGTAAGTACTTTTATGATAAAGGACCATGATGTTGGAAATAATGATTGTGATATCACAGCGCAGACAAGACTCAAAATGTGGTTGGATTAAGAGTATTTCAGTTTACTAATAATAGCAAATGAAACAAAAAATTGTGTGATGTTTTAATGGGCTTCTGTAACAAATTTTTAATTCGTTTGAATTTATGTTAGTATTCTTTGAAAACTTTGGATCTTAATAAGGTTAAATTTTAGCCAGTTTTGAAACAACGTCAGATTATATATATATATGTACCTTGGATCTAACGCGGGTCCTTGCGCTTGTGCAGCAGGTGGCGAAACCACTGAGCTAAATCCCCGGCCCTCAACGTCAGATATTTTATAAAATTATTTTCTGCCTTTTCTGTAGAATGTTACTCTATACAGAACTCAAGATTAAAGGCATAAAAGGTAAAATGGGAAAATATATTTCACAGATGATGTCATACTATAAATTATCTAGTTCCAGAATTCTTAAAATTGTAAATGAGACACTTAAAAGGATTTAAAAGTGTGCTAGGGATAGAAGGAATTAAAAATTGTATGTTACCTATACCTATTATCAATGAAAGAGTTATAAAAAGAATAAGCTAATACCACTGCAGCTTTGTCATTTCAGCATTAGAATAAAAGAAATTTCTAATTCAATCGCTATTAAAATATTCAATCGCTATTAAAATAGTGAATAATACAATTAATTTTAAAGATAGTCATGTCTTATTTCAATGGGTGAATTTTAGATGTAAAACCAATACCTTGTTTTCAATGGCACTGTTTCATTCATTTATTCATCCATATGGTCAGCCAGGCATCACATAAACAGCAAAGCCATTATAAGTGTGTGTAGGGGTGGAGATAGAAACTGGAGGGGGAAGAATATTCCCTGGGAAAGATGGAGGTCTGAGCTGTGCAGCTCTAGTGAAAGGAGGAGGCTTGTGTCTTGTGGTTTCTCTTTCCCTAGTGATTTACAGAAGGAGACCATCAGCTGTGGCAAAGAGTAATGAAGCTGTGGTGGGCAAACAAGTAGTATGAAACCATGGGAGTCTCCCAGACGAGCAGTGAGAGAGCATTAATTAGCTATTCTTTAATGACTGGCTCAAGATTCAAGGAATGATCAACCTCTAGTTGATGCTGCAAGAAGATGGATTTGTTATTAGAGGGCAGGAGATGCACAAGAGAACATCTGAGATTACTGAAAATGGATGGTGGGGACACAGACCACAGAGCCATGAAGCCAATAAAACAGTACTAAAGACAGCAACACCATGGACTTAGCCTTGGTGCCTGACACAATGTAATCCTAAAATACCTGTATAGTCTCCCTGAAGACAGACAAAGAGCCTCTCAAGCCATTTAGAGTAAGTTTCCATCCATCTCTAGGTGAAAGTAGAGAGGTATCAGAAGTGTTTACACTTTGGGAAAGAAATGTGATGGTTCTGCTTCTGATTAGGATATAGAAAGCTACAGGAGACTGTCAGCTCCCTTGGAGAAAGATAATAATTTGGGTTCTGTATAAAATCATAGCTTCTCACATACCCATCAGAGAGTTGGGATAGCAAGGCATCTAGGTAAAGAGTGGCAATTCTCCAAGGAGAGATGGGGCATTTTTGGCAGAACACTGGAGGTCTCCTTTCCTTTCCCTGCCGTATATACACTCATTCCTTCTATACCAAGCTTCTTACCTGTCTGTAGGCAAAACAGACCCTTTACACAGACTTTCCCCTGCTTGAAATATAGCCTTTGTTTTGCCTTTTTTCTCAGTTAGAAATATTTTAAGATATAAAAATCAGAATATCTGACTGCAGTTGATGAATACAGAGTTGGTCTTAGAATTCCAGCAGTTAAAATTCTAGCTTATTGTCAGTTACTTGGCAATAATAGCTAATATTTATATAGCACTGTCTTTGTTCCAGAGACTTTCCTAAGGACTTTAAATCTTGAGAAAATCCATGAAATAGGTACTTTTATTATTCTCATTTTATACATACGAAGCATGGGATACAGAAAAGTTGGGTTACTTGTCCATAATCACACACCTAGCCACTGGAACTGGTTTTTTCCCAGAGCTGATCCTCTTAACTACTATGGTATGATCTGAAAAAAGGTATTTTACTTATCTGAATTTTAGTTTTTATTGACAGTGTATGTATAGCTATAGGGAAGCAAGATGAAATCTATCAAGATCATCCACCAATACTCCCCTGAATAAATATGCATCATCATAAAGCCAGACTTAATTCTTGTAATACAACTTGCTAACCCATGCAATCAAACTCTTGCAATAAATCACCCAACTGGCTAACCTTTACTGAGTATTTACCATGCCCTGGACACAGAATATGATGGTGAACAAAGCAGGTCTAATGGAAGATATGGATATTAAATAAATTTTTATAATTATATAACTGAAAAAGATAAAAATTTGAAAGGAATTTCTATGCCTTGAGAGTAACATTACTGTATTGGGAAGTAATACTTTAGATGGATTTATATGTCGAGACCAATCATGAGGAAATATGTCAGCATGTGACTGAAAGCAAATCTTGCAAAACTAATTAATGATTAGCTCAAATTATGTTGCTACTTGCAAAACAAAAGCGGTTAAATTTACACAACCATGATTGGGGTTTTTTTTCCACAGTGAAATCGTTTATTTTACAAGTTATCTTTATTTTAGGTCAACATTCAGACATACAAGATGGAGATCACCATGTGAAACCTGGCCCTTGGAGTGCAGGTAGGAGTCAGTCAGCCAGGGCTCTGACAGCAGGCTGTACTCCAGGGTGACTGGGTTCCAGGAATGGGGAAAAACCAGTGCATGGACAACTGCCTTCCATGCACTTGCATCTAGTTTTTTAAAATAGCATATCTATGCTTCAGTGTAAATTCCCCCTTGCCCCATTCAGTATGAAACACTGCCCCACTTTTCAGGAAATCTAATCTGCTAAATGCTGCCTGCAGGGCCCTTGGCCTAGCCCCTTCCTGGAGGGTGTGCAAGTTCCCTGTGCCCTTCCCGGGACTGGTCAGCACAGAGTCCCTGCCCAGGCTTCCCTTCACAGGCAAGCTTACCACTGATTGTACCTAGTGCTCAGAAAAGTTGTTTCAATGTTTCAAGGAAAGAGGGTTTCCAGTCACCTCCTTCCTAGGTTTCTTATACCTGTGTGTGAGACGAGCATGACAGAGCCTCCAGGAATGGATGTTTGTGACAGCTACCTCATGCCCAACCCTGCTCAGGCCCAATGCTGGTGGGGCCTCTGCAGTGCTTTCAGGCACAACTGCTTTCTGCACACAGGGCCTCAGTTTCCTACTGTGCATCCACTGGAGACTGTACAGAGACCTTACCCCTGCCCAACTTGCAAAGAAACCAGAGCTGCTTGAGAGCCAACTTTATTCTACTTGTCACTTAGCCAATGGACAGCAGCATGACAGGCCTGCTGCACAATATATACATATACACATATGTACACACACAGACACACACATAGGAAGCATTTTATTGAGGATTTAGAATAGCATAAATCTTCTCTTTGATACAACTCATGCTACCTGCCTGAGAGGCCCTTCCCACTCTGTAAACCTAGATTGAGATTGACTTTTCTCTGCCCTGTGCAGTCATGATAGTTATATGACCTTCACTAGGAGCATGCATAATTTGAAAAGCCCAATTCATCATTGTTTTACTCTAATAAGCTTTTCCTTACATTGATGTCTTTATGTACTAGTGCTGCTCTTGCTCTCAGAACTACATGGAACTAGAACTCAAATGGCTTCAAGCCTCACTGAGACTGATAGAAGTTTGAAGGAGATACCTGGTGAATGGCAGGGCACCAACTGAGAGATTTCACAAAATGGCATGACTTCAGAGAATTTACCATATGAAGAATAGGTCCTTGATCTCATAGAACCAGATAATCTTACCTGGATCCCAGAGTTTCTCAGATGAGAGACTCCTCATATTAATTTACTAACTAGGGATCCAAAGTCTGAAGTGCATGAATAGAAATATAACTTATTAGTGGACAATGAACAAATTAACAGTTTAAATATTGCAGTTAGCTAAAGCAGATTATTTTCTCCCAGAAAGAAAAATATCTAGAAAACAAAATTTCAGCATGATATCTGAGAATGTAAGAGGAGTAATGTGAGTGATTTCATTAATTCTATGTATAGAATTGATTCACTTTTCATCTTCTTGGCCCATGTTACATCTGGATACACTATTTCCATGGTACAATCTCATGTTAGCTGGTGTGAGTTCACTGAAACACAAATCTGATGGTATAACTATGGCTAAAATCCTTGGGGAATGGGACATCTCATTCTTGTTTTGACAAAGCCCCAGATGCTTCACATTATTCTCAAGACCCCGAATAACCAGATTCTGTCAATGACTGCAGCCATGTCTACTGCACATTTCTCACTCACATTCACCACACTGAATCTCTTGAATGATTCTGCATGACAAAATTATCTTTCTACTTTCCTGGAAAACTTCTATTGATCCTTTGGAAATGAGCTTAGCCCTTATTTCCTCTATATGCCTTCCTTGACTCAATTAGTCTTGCTGAGTTGCTCCTGTTCTCCTCCCATAACAATTTTTTCTAGTTAATTCAAAGTTTTGCCTACTGAACTATATGGTTGTGAAGGCTGGGGTCAGTCACATGATTCATTGAAGGATATGGAAAAGCAGGGGCTATGTTAACCTTATTCGTCATTGTATTCCTTGTACTCGGTAGAATAAGTGAGAATTAGTAGATGCCATATGACACATTGTTAAGCAAATACATGCATCACAATGTATATTAGTATCATATTATGATAAACATTATACATGTTTAATGTAAGAGAAATGTTTTTCTTTTTTTTTTTTTTTTGGTAGACGGCATGAACTCGTGTCCTTCTGCTTTCGAGGCAGGCAGAAAAACCACTGAGCTAAATCCCTGGCCCAAGAGAAATGTTTTTAAATCCACAGGACAAGCCATGATAATTTCCCATGACACTCAGACATAGTCCTCCATCTTGCTTGAAAATAATCATTGCTATTTCCCTTCAGGGCTGTTCTCAGATTTTAACCAGTTACTTATTTATGTATGAAATTTTGAATATCATTAAATACTTACATAGAAATATTCTGAAAATGTCATATTCTAAAAACTAAAACTGCATGTTTCTGTGCATTTCCTCAGTCTTTGCTAAAATAAATATTATAAAACTCTGGCAACCTCTAACATGTCCATTTCCTTATCCCATTTCAGGTGATCTTTGGGCTGACTTGCCTTCCCATTCTGAGACCAAGGCCTAAGGAGCAGTCCTCATTTGGGACCAGCTATTTTTAGAGAAGAAAACAGAAATAAAAGAAAATGAGACCACTTACAAAATTGCATTTAAATCTTCTGTTAGAATAGAATGCATGGTACATCTATTCACTTTCCACTGGCAAAACAAGCTAGGGAGCAAACCCCAGAAAGAGTGGCATAGGAGATATACCTCTTAGAGTTATGAAAATTATAAATTATTAAGAACAGTAACATCATCAGCACAATTGCTTACCACTTTGCTAAAATTTTTATTCAGGAATATTTTTAAATCTATCAAATTAATTTCATAGCTTTTAATAACTGAAAAATACAATTTTAGGTTTCAAATATTTGCTTCATCTGATTCTTTTCATTAAAACTGTCTTTAAAAGCTATATAACATTTCATTAAATTGAAGAAACTTAATTTCTCTATAATTTGACCATTTAGGTTTTTCCCAATCTTTTATTCTTTCTAATTATCGTTACTGGTGTTGTGAAAACCTTTGTCTGTAAATTTTTGGGGGACATAAAATCCTTTCTTTTGACTAGATGCCCAGAAGAATAATAACTGGGTCAAAGAGGGTGAATATTTTTAGATTCCTGAAAATAATTTGACAAATTGCTTTTCAAAAGTGTGGTAACAATTTCTACTCCTATTTGCAGTATGTAAGAAGGCCCATTTGTTCCAAATTCTTACTGGCGGTGATATTATTAATGATCTGAAATATTTCTAAACCATTCCCTCTCTCAGGCTGATATTTTCTCCTTCATTTATTTTTCACACTTCTTTCCCTTATATCTGCATCTTTCTCACTCCAAGAGAGTGAAACTTCACTGAGGGCAGGGACTCTGTGTATTTAGTAACTAAATCTTGTCATTTCCTATGTGCCTGTTTAGTAAAGGCTGGTTAAGTGGATCACTTGCTGAATTAGTAAACAGACAAATCAGTCAATATGGTATTTCATTTAAAAATATTTCTTTCCTTGATTACTACAAAGAGAAACATTTTTCTGTATTTTAATCAGCTAGTTTTTCTTTGTTAGTTATTTAATCAACTAGGGTTTTCTTTGTTAGTTGAGTGTTCTTGCACTTGGGTCACATGCTGTTTTTCTCATCAAAGTTGTACAACTCCAGACACACTCAGCCATCTCATCTTCAATAAAGTTCAACAACTCTTACCAAAGTTCTACAAGCAGTAAGAGAAAAGAAACAAATCACATACAAAGGAAAGCCCATCAGAATCAAAGCAGACTTCTCAATGCAAACTCTCAAGGCAAGAAAAGCTTGTAGTGATGTATTGCAAGCCCTAAAGGAAAACAGCCTCCAACCCAGATTGATGTACCCTGCAAAACTATCTTTCAAAATTGATGGAGAAATA